TATACATACATGTGTGTGTATTTATATATACATAAATATACACAGCACACATACATATATTATGTAAACAAAAACGGTTATTTTGGATGCGATTAATCGGTTGACAGCAGTAGTAAATATGCTGCCATTGTTTCTCTAGGAACAAATCATGAGACAGAAACACTGAAAACGTTTTGACGGATGAATGCAGATGCCCACGGAAGCAATAATTGTGCTTGAAGGTGCATGTTCTTGCACTACCAGTAATGGCCTCCTGGCAGCAGCAGATAATAATTGAGCCTTTAAGCATGTTTTCACCATGTCTTTACGCTCATTCTGTGAACCAATGCAGTGAGGTCTTCTCTTTCATGTTTATTTTTGGATTTCATATACAGCAACCATTTAAGTCTTTGCTGTGAATTTCCTTTCCCTTATTAAATGATGCGATCTTTTTTTCTTCTAGCCTCATGTGGATGTGAGATAAAATCCCTATTTTAATATTTGTCAGGCTAATCTTAGTTTTAGATTTCTGTCACTTTTATTACATATATTGTTAGTAATTTTCAGATAATTGGTGTAGGCTTATGTGTTTCACTTTTAAAGCAATTATTCGTTTAGTTGTTGTTGTTTTCTAAGCAACACACATGCATTAACAAAAGGCTGTTTTTGTTTTATGTTTGTATGATTTCTGATATGGTTTGAGATCAACTGTGCTTTTTGTTTTGAGCCATCAGGAGGCGGTATATGTTGTGCTGTGATGACGATATCTTCTGCTGACGTCCTGATTGGCTAGTTTTCTCTAGCAATATCTTCAGCACCTGTCGAATTTGGCCCCTTTGCGAATGATTAGTGGGTCACTTTCATGTAGGAAGGCAGTATTTTAGGTCCTTTTCATCCCACCTTCGACAGAATATGTATTTCAACCAAAGTGATTACATTTATTGTAAATTGCATTATAATTTCATGCTATTATTTTCATGTGTACGCTAACATCAATTGCAGCGTCATATCGGTTACGGTATTCTTCTATCGTGTGATTGATCGCTCGTTGTCGCGTTGTTCTGGTGCATCAGTGATTGATCGCTCATGTTGCGCGTGTGTACGTGCCAGCTGGATGAACTGAGCGCGAGCAACTTTCAGATGGATGTTTGGGAATTTGAAAGTGTTGGATTCTGTAACGCCTCTTTTCAGCACCTTGGTTAGTTCCTGTGAGGAGAAACTCGGACCCTATGGCAAAGACACGGAAAAATACCAGCTAGGCTATGTTTTATTCTTAACCTATTACCGTGTGAGTTAGGCGCTTATTTTGAACGGCGAGGTCTCTGGACTGGACTGGAAATCATCTTATGAGGTCGCGGTTTTGGGAACAACTGGAATTTCAAGATGATGATCACGCGCTACAGACCGGTATGCTCATTTCTTTTTGATTAATGGGTAAAGTGGCTGCTGATAGGAGAGTTTTACCTACATGTTAGCCTTTAATTAACGTTTAAACAAGAAATGATGTGTTTAATTGTGTATATTTATACTGTTTTTAGCTTTTCGACTATTTTCCTGTGAGGAAGTTGTTAGGAAAACCATATGTGAGTTTTGCATTTCCAATAACACTCAGCTACATCAACGAGTATGACAGTGAACGGAGGTGCTGCGCATGCGCGGTTGTTTTGGAACGGATCCTCTGTTTCAATGGAGTGAAGTCCAAAAGATACAAAAAAAAAAAATCGATATAGCCTACTACACCCAGCTTTCCACCGAAATCATTTATCTTTAGTTGTACATGCATAAGCTCCTAAGGTGCGCGTGTGTAAAAGCTCTACAATGAGATTGTATTTTTATTTTTTATTTTTTTTTGTGCAAAAGCACAAAGACCTCTGATTTGGACCAATGTCTATTAATATGATTGGCCTTAATCTTTGATTTTCAGGGTACTGTATTATTTTGGCCTCAAAAAGCTGTTCATTTTTTTATTCTGATTAGATTTATAAATGTAATATTTTTTATTAAAATCAGAACAAGTTACAGATATTGTACGGCACAATGCATATCTCTCTGATGTAAATAATTAGCCGTTTAAATTATAAGTGAGAGTGAAGTTAGGGAAATATGCCTAGGTTTCATGAAAATGACGAAGTAAATATATTTTTATGAATATATTTGTATTTAGCTTTTTTATTTTGCCTTTTTATTTCATTTTGCTTTTATTTATTTATATTTTTATTTTGGGGTAGAGCAAAATAATGTACAGTGTAATACAGTTACAAGGAGTCTCTACAACTTGATGACTAAGAGCTTTAATCTAAGTGATTATTAAATGATGTTTAAAGGGAACTACAATACATGCTACAATATAGAATTCATTACATATTGACTGAAATAGTAGCCTATACCTCTAGGCACTCTTTTGATTTGATACACTGTGCAGATTATAGGGTCATGCTACTCATTAAATCTTCGGGAAATGCTTTTTGAGGGGAATTCAATTACAGTGTGATAAAGTGGCAGTAGAGCACTCCTAGAGCATTCAATCAGGTTGCAGATGCTTACCTTATTCATTCTCTTAATTGACAGTGTGGAGGACAGTGACAGTGACGTGCTTGTATGCATGTTTTCTTCTGGAAGGCAGGAGAGTAAATTCACACTTTGCCTTTCTGAAATAGCACATCTATAACACACCATACCTGTCTGTACCTTCCTTAACACCTTTGAGTGATAGATCAACCTTATGTTCTCACCACTACGTCAAAAGGTTATCACAGTATTTCTGAGGGGTTGTTTTAGTTATAGGGATGGATTGCAGATGGATCCTTAATAAGGATGGATTGCAGTCCATATACACTCTAGGTCTAATATCAGCATGGGTCAGGTAGCCTGTCTAGACACAGAAAGGTGTAATTCTTCAAACTGCACCCTTTGGTTGAAACAGATATTCTGAAATAGCCTTACATTTTTTAATTAGCCTACACTTAAAAAAAAACATATGTGTGTAATGCACTACTAGTAATAGTCTGATAGTCTGATCCAATATAAATTGAACATCTCAAAAAATATATATATTTTTCCTTTATTTTATTTTTTTGTTTTGTTTTTATGTTTTGTTTGCTTTTCTGTTTTGTTTTGTTTTATTATCATTTTTTGTTTTGTTTTCACCAGTCTTTCTTGTATTTGTTTGTTTTTCTGTTTTTATTTGTTTGTTTTTTGTCTTATTTTAATTTGTTTTGTATGAGTTTTATTGTTCTGTTTTTGTTTCATTTTCGTTTGTTTTTGTTATTTAAATTTTTTGTTTGTTTGTTTTGTTTTGTTTTGTTTTCGTGATTATCAGAATCAGCTGAACAAGTGTAGGTTCCAAAGTCTAGTCAGTTTCAAAATCTACCAACAGATTATAGATAATAACATTTATGTTCCAAATTTTAATTTATAGTAAATATTGTGTAATATGAATCTCATTTATTTTCCCTAAACTGTGTTATATATTGACACTTTTTCAGCCATGTTTTCTAGATATCAGCATCATCCACTGAACAGCCCCTATTAGTAAAACACTATTTCTGTGTGACCTTGTTACATAGCCTTTCGTCATTCAACCGTCTCGTACTTTAAGTTTGCTTTGGCTTTTGAATTTCATGACAGTCCAACCAGATCAGTCTTTGTTCACTGTGAGTCAGTTCACCACTCATGAATATGTTTGATCTCTCATGCCAGGCATGTACCTCACTGTGACGTGCGTGCTGCTTTTTCAATGCCGCCCGCAATGCAATTCTCTCCTCTCCTCTCCTGCTATCCCCCCCTCCCTCTAGCTCCTCTCTCTCTGTCTTCCATCACGCTGTCTCTCTCTCCCTCTTTCTCTCTCCCCTCATCACACTCTCATGCACACACTCCGCTATACAGCTATCCTCCCACAAGGTCAACTCTGAGCTCTTGATCACCGCAGCTCGGCCAGATCGCATCCCGAGCACACACACGTGTGTTTGCACTTGAATGGAGATGTTTTTTGATGGCATTAAGCTGCGTCGGTTATTAAAAGCATGCCCGTGAGCCGTGGCTTTGCCGGTGGAATCCAATGCAGGCGTCCCCCTGTCGGAGAGAAGCTGTTTGGATGTGCTCATCCCATGCAGAAGCGGAGCCGCTATTGCGCTCTACCTGTGCAGTGATTCACTTCAGCTGATATCCTCCACCTACAGCAAGGATGTAACGGCTCCTCAGTGGACAGATTATGCTCTGAGAGGATCTCTTCTAGTTTTTTACCCCTTTCCTGTCCTCTTTTTCCTCCTGTTTCGGTCTTTCTTCTACTGGATCACCTCAGAGACCCGATACCACCATGTCCTTGGCATTCTGCGGAAACGACAACAACTCGGCCGCGTACAATGTGGATGCCGGTGTCCTCAACAATGGCTGCTTCCTGGATGCCCTCACAGTGGTGCCACACGTCTTCCTGCTCTTCATCACTTTTCCTATCCTCTTCATCGGTGAGTGTCAAAGGCAGGTGAGAACTAGTGCATGCTTGTGTCACAATACTAAGTGGATGGAGTGAATTACCACTCTATGACTTTACTATGTACTGTAAGTTTAATTATGATAGATAGGCAGATAGATAGAGAGATAGAGAGATGGAAGGATGGATAGATAGACAGATGGACTAGATAGATACATAGACATAGACAGACAGGCAGATAGACGGATGGAAAGATAGATAGAAAGGCAGATGGATGATAGACAGATGGGTAGACAAACAGACTAGATAGATACATAGACAGAGATATAGATAGATAGATAGATAGATAGATAGGCACGGATAAATGAGCAGATAGACAGATGGATGGATAGACAGCAAAGGGATAGACAGACAGACAGGCAGACAGAAAGATGGATAGATAGATAGATAGATAGATAGATAGATAGATAGACTTACAGGTGGATACACAGATGGACAGAGATAGATGGGCAGATAGACAGACGGAAGGACAAACGGATAGATAGACAAGTGGAGAGACAGATGGATGGATAGATAGACAGTTGGATAGACAGACAGATAGATAGATGGGTGGATAGACAGACGGACAGATAAACAGACGGATGGAAAGACAGGCAGATAGACAGACAGAAGGATAGACAGATAGATAGACAGACAGGTAGACAGACAGTTGGATAGACAGACGGACACATAGACAGACAGATGGGCAGATAGACAGACGGAAGGACAAATGGATAGATAAGCAGACGGATGGATAGACAGACAGACAGACGTGTGGATAGACAGATGGACAGATAGATGTGTGGATAGACAGATGGACGGGTAAACAGACAGATGGAAAGAGGCAGATAGACAGACAGTTGGATAGACAGAAGGACACAGATAGACACTCGGAAGGATAGATGGATAGATAGACAGGCAGGTAGACAGACAGGCACATAGATGGGTGGATAAACAGATGGAAGGTTAGACGAATAGATATACAGGTGGATAGACGGATGGATGCATAAACAGGCAGATAGATAGATGGGCGGAAAGACAGACAGACAGATAGATAAACTGAGAGACGAATAGACAGATGGATAGATAGATAAATAGATAGACAGACAGACATGATATGCAGGTTTTTGTATACTTACTTTTGAAAGTGTACCGCACCATTTAGATTGGTGTTTTGTTTGTAAAAGGATTAGAGAAACAGACAGGAAATGATTAATGAGCTCTTTGAAATTCATTTTTGAACATTTGGCTCATTCATTATGAAGATAAACACTGCATAATTGATCTGCGCTCAAGTAGTCATTTGCCACAAATGTGGTTTGGTGAACCACATAGAGAGACCAGGATAGAGTTTGTCAAGCCTCTGTGGGAAACATTTTTATTTTAGACAAACAAATGTGACCTTAGTGGTGGAATGTACAGCTGAAGCCATCATACTGTCAGAGAGTCGAGTTACAGGAAGAACAGCTCTCGATTCCCCATACCAGAAGAGTCAGAACAACGGTAAACAATCCCACTAATGCCAGAGTGAACTAACCTGAACCAACCTTCCATCACACTTTCTATTATTCATTTTCCAAATGATTTGGAATCATCACTGATTGATTCAATTTTTAAAATCTTTTTTTTCTGTGAAGGAATATTTGATAAACAAAATTCCGCATCCTGCAGATGTCATGTTTCTGCTGATAATAAATATTGACATTGACTTTCCATTGATCTAATAATCTTTAAAAAAAATATATGAAGTTTTTACAAAAATATTAAGCATCACAACTGTTTTAAACATTGATAATAATAAGAAATGTTTCTTCAGTAACATAACACTTAAGGTCCGGATCAGTGAATCAGAATCATTGAATTCCATACAAATCCTATCTCAGATGGAGATTTATTGTGGGGAATATTATGCATAAAAACCTACATCAGTTTTAATATGCAATACATGTTGCTGTTTGTTTTGAATCAGCATCCTCATATCCCTAATATCCGGTTCTTCAAGATATCAAGGGCAAAATCTGTCCCAGTGTTATTACAGCAACCTGGAAAGGACATTGATTTTGAAACACTTTTTCCACTGACACAGTATATGTGCTCAAGTTAGAATTGCTAAGCACCTGCCAAATGTGCATGTGTGATGTTTTTTATTAAGGATGATCATATATGGACAAACAATTTATTCCTCAAGGATAGTTTACATCACTTCCTGTCAGAGAGAATTATGTTGCTGTAAGCGATGTACAGATATTTAATCACTGTATTGTAGGTTGGGGGAGTCAGAGTTCCAAGGTGCACATCCATCACAGCACTTGGCTGCACTTCCCCGGACACAACCTCCGCTGGATCCTCACCTTCATCCTGCTCTTCATCATCGTCTGCGAAATAGCCGAGGGCATCGTGTCCGACGGGTGAGATTTATGTGTCGATTCATCTGTCTGTCTGTCAGTCTGTGTGAATCTCATGAAACCTGTCAAGAACATTTCACCCCCAAATCAATTTCAATAAAAATCATTAGGATTTTTTGTTTTATAGTATTGTTTTCATGACAGTTACTCACATCCTCTTTCCTTTTTTATGAAAATCGTTACTATTTATCATTATTATTTTTCATTTAAAGGCAATGCATATATGATGCATCAAGTTTGGAGTCGGAAAGATTCATGTTTTAAACAAAGTCTCTTCTGCGCAGTAAAAACAGTGAAATACTATTACAGTTTAAATAGCTGTTTTCTATGTGAATATGTTGTAACTAATTTTTTCCTTTGATTCAAAGCTGAATTTTCAGCATCCTTGTAAGAAACATTTCTTATTATTGTCAATGTTTGAGACAGTTGTGCTGCTTCATATTTTTTGTGCAAACCATGAAACATTTGTTTTCAGGATTCTTTGATGAATACAAAGTTAAAGCATTTATTTGAAATAAAAATATTTTTGTAACATTATAAATGTTCTTACTCTCACTTTTGATCAATTGAATGTGTCCATGTGTAATAAAAGTACCAATAATTAATATGCATTAATTATGTATAAATAAAAATCTTGAGAATGGAATAATGGAAAATGGAAATTACCAAAAAAAAAAACACATTTCACCATTCATTCATTCGTACATTCATTCATTCATTCATTCATTCATTCATTCATTCAATTAATTTCTATTTGGAATAGGAAATGTTGATCCATGTCTAATACTGTTTCTTTCTCCCTTTCTCAGGTTTAATCAGTCGGTCCACCTGCACCTCTATATGCCATCATGTTTGGCCTTCATGGCTGCCATCACGTCAATCGTCTTCTACCACAACATAGAGACCTCCAACTTCCCCAAACTACTGATGAGTGCGTGTCAGCCTTATTATCTCAGCCAGTTGCTTATTAAGGACTGAGTTTTTTGTTACTTGGATGTCATATGCACATTTAATTCATAATGCAAATCACATTCTAAAGAGTGATGTAAAGCCTCATTAACTGCAATATGGGAATTACTGCAATTATAATAACAAGTTTGCTTCTTTTGAAAGAATAATCGAACTGCTCCAGCTACATTCACACAGATCCCATTTTTCTAAAAAAAAAAACAACTGCATTGCAGTGCTACAGACTAATGGCCCTTGATGGTGCAATGCTATTTTCCGACTACAGTTTCATTTCCAGGATAAAATTGTTTGTTACAATGACTTCAAATCATCTGAACATTGTCTAGACTAGAGATTGAAGTCACAGCCCTGTAATCACATTCCTTGACTGCAATATTTTTGAGGACGGCAGGACGTTTTAAAGAGACTCTAACCGTATTTATCATCCTGTCTCTGAACATCTGGAGTGAGAAGCCATTTCAAACATCTGCCTGCTGTGCAAAACCAGCAGAGACTGATGCCTTTGGTGCTGAAGTGTATAGAGGATGTGATGTCACATATCATTGTATTTATGTTTCTTTCACAGCTCTGCTCATTTACTGGGTTCTGGCGTTTGTCTCTAAAACAATCAAGTTTGCCAAGTACACAGAGCACGGCATCGGCCTGAGACAGCTACGCTTCGGGATCACAGGCTTACTGACGATGCTATATGGTCTGCTGTTGGCCGTGGAGATCAACGTCATCCTGAAGAGGGTAAATGATTGTGTGTCTGTGATTGTATTCCTGGCCATTGATTCTCCATTCTCCATTTTGATTCCTTTTATTCTTCAGCCTCTGGCTGTGATTGTCTCACTATATATTGCAGTCTCGGAAAATACAAAAGTCTGATCCCGTCTGGTGACAGACTGCAGGGAATTCAGGATGCTCTGAATTCAATCCGATCTTTAATCTGGATTCTGAAGTTTTATCTGTCGGAATACAGAGTATTTTCTCTCCTACTTGTTGTTTCAAACCCTGATGACACTTCTCTTCTGTAAAACATAAAAGGAGATATTTGGTAGAGATACAGATACAGATACAGATATTTTTATTACATTTTAGTGTCTTTATGTGAATAAAAATCTGTATATATTTTTCTTTTTCATTATAATATATGGTAATATTGATAATGCTAAAGTAAAATCTGTATATATTTTTCTTTTTCATTATAATATATGGTAATAATGATAATGCTAATGTTTTCAAGTAGTAAAATTTGCTTTGTAATGTTGTTTATTTGCAATATTTGTAACTGGTAATATTATATTATATTATACTATATTATATTATATTTTTCAGCAAACAAGTTTGAATTTGCAGTAATTTCTAACTAGTTAGACATGAAGCAACTCGGGATGCTCATTTTAACCGGTTATCCGAAAAGACCATAAGAATATTGACTAATTAATACAATCAGTTAAACGGTTTAAAAAGTCTTTTTTTTTTTCAGTAATTTATCAAAAATATTTTAAAAGGTTTGCTGCATGATTAAAATATGCTATGCGTATAAAATAAAATTGTGTTTTTTAGAGAAAAAAATATGTCGCGTATAAGTCACATTTGATTCTTTCATTCAGAAATAGGCCTAATGCCGACGCGAAATGTTTACAAACATTATAATAAACACTGTAAACATAGCTAGGCTATTTTAGTTCCTCTCACTCCACAACAAATCCTTCCAATTTAGTATTCAGAAAAGAACAAGAATTAAAAATATAAGAAGCTATAGCTAGGCTATATAAACGACGAGCCAAAACGAATTCATTTAGGTTAAAACAAAACTGAAACCAACGTTGAGTCTCTCATTCGACACAAAATCATTTTTCCGTTTCCGTATTCGCGATGTATTTGAATGCCAAAATATTATTTATTATGAAAGCCTGGTTTTGTAGGCTACTTCACTCGCGTTCCAATATCCACGTAAAACAAAATGTGTTTGGCATAACATCATAGCGGCACGGTGATAACGCTTAACGGCATAGATTTTACTACATATTTAAACTGAGCAGTGTGTTTTTTCCCCATATATTTGACTGAATGTATTTTATTATGGTAATGAACAGGCTGCATTGCCAAGGTAGCAATACTTAACTGTGCGCGTGCATGCGGCGCCGGCACAATCACTTGAATTGTTTCCTTCTAACAGTGGAAGCAACTACTTCTTTTAGTCATAAAGATAATCGGAATTGTAAAAGGTTTGCTTTTATTTGTGTACATTCACAATAAAAACAAATATTTGTGCCCATGTGAATCCTCATGTTCTGCTGTGCTTTTTGCGCATGTAAAATCAATCCCCGGAAAAAAAATGTTAGTATTTTTAACGGGTCACAGACACTTATCCTTTCTAATTTAATTCAATTCTAATTTAAAATAATCTTGTCGGTTAATGGTTAATAATTGGTTAATAAGTGCCGGTTGTCGGTTAGGAGAAATAACCAAAATGAACATCCCTAGAAGCAACCTAGAACAATTAGTCTGAACTGTTTCATTTAGTCTTTCATTAATTAAACTCTTCATTTATTAAATTAAACTTTATAGAATATTTATAGAATGCCTGAAGCCATGAAGTTTCACAGTCCAGAAACAGTTAGCCTTTGTGTTTTGTCATCAAACTATTTGACATTGTGAGATTTATGAAAGGAAATTCACTGTTAAATTATGTTCTTCAATGTTGAGATTAGAAACATTGCTTTTCTTTCATGTAGCCTACAATTGGAAGAATTTTGACAGTGTTTTCTCTATTTTTCTACAGCGATATATGTGTTTTGCACACCCCACTGAAGTGAAGCCCCCAGAGGATTTACAGGACCTGGGGGTTCGATTCCTGCAGCCGTTCGTGAACCTGCTGTCCAAAAGCACATACTGGTGGATGAACACCTTCATCACTGCAGCACACAGACGCCCCATCGATCTGAAGGTCATTGGCAAGCTACCAATTGCTATGAGAGCTCTAACTAACTACCTGAAGCTCCGCGAGGCCTTTGAAGCCCAGAAGGTACGATTTAAGAATCTGTCTCTTTTTTTTTCATTATATTTTACCTTTTACAAATACTATTTTTAGGGAAATGTCCTTACTTTTTCTGCCAGTGCTACGATGTGACAGCAAACAATGAGTAAAAGAAGATTTTTATGGAGTTTGAGGCCTAAATACAATCAACAAAAGTAAAAAGCTAAACGTAAACATAAACAGGAGTAATTTTCGCCCCATTTCGAAGCTGCCTTTTATATCTAAGGTATTGGAAAAAATTGTGTTGGAGCAGTTAAATGTTTTTTAAAGAGGAATAATATCTTAGATAGATTCCAGTCTGGTTTTAGAGCCGGCCACAGTACAGAGTCTGCTCTTTTGAGGGTCTCCAATGATATCTTAAGAGGTGTTGACTCTGGGAGTTGTGTTGTTCTAATTTTGTTAGATCTTACTGCAGCATTCGATACAGTTGATCACGATATACTTATTGCTCATCTCAAGAATCATGTTGGTGTTCAGGGCTTAGCCCTAAAATGGTTCTCTTCTTATCTGAAGGATAGGACTTTTTCAGTCAGTTTAGGTGATTACTCTTCTTCTACTGCTCCTCTTGTCTGTGGGGTTCCTCAGGGCTCTATTCTGGGACCAATTTTATTTTCTCTGTATATGTTGCCATTGAGTTTTATTTTTGAAAAATTTGGGATTCATTATCACTTGTATGCGGATGATTCACAAATTTACTTACCATTGAAACAGGACCATAAATGTGCTTTGCAGTCTCTGCATCAATGTCTGACAGAGGTTAAGTGCTGGTTGGCAAACAATTTTCTTCAATTGAATGAAGATAAGACAGAGATGATTTTATTTGGTAATAACAATAAGGGTTATGTTAAGGATATCTATGACTGCCTGGGGCAGTTTCCTGGGAAGAAACTGTCCTGTGTAAAAAACCTTGGTGTCATCTTTGACTCTGAGCTCAAATTTGACCGACAAATTAATGCTGTTGTTAAAAATAGCTTTTTCCATCTAAGGTCAATATCTAAGCTGAAGTCCATCCTCTCTTTTGAAGATATGGAGAAGGTTGTTCATGCTTTTGTGTCATCTCGTTTGCTGGGAGTTGTGTTGTTCTAATTTTGTTAGATCTTACTGCAGCATTCGATACAGTTGATCACAATATACTTATTGCTCGTCTCAAGAATCATGTTGGTGTTCAGGGCTTAGCCTTAAAATGGTTCTCTTCTTATCTGAAGGATAGGACTTTTTCAGTCAGTTTAGGTGATTACTCTTCTTCTACTGCTCCTCTTGTCTGTGGGGTTCCTCAGGGCTCTATTCTGGGACCAATTTTATTTTCTCTGTATAAGTTGCCATTGAGTTTTATTTTTGAAACATTTGGGATTCATTATCACTTGTATGCGGATGATTCACAAATTTACTTACAATCAATGTCTGACAGAGGTTAAGTGCTGGTTGGCAAATAATTTTATCTAAGACAGAGATGATTTTATTTGGTAATATGGGTTATGTTAATTATATATATGACTGCCTGGGGCAGTTTCCTGGGAAGAAACTGTCCTGTGTAAAAAACCTTGGTGTCATCTTTGACTCTGAGCTCAAATTTGACCGACAAATTAATGCTGTTGTTAAAAATAGCTTTTTCCATCTAAGGTCAATATCTAAGCTGAAGTCCATCCTCTCTTTTGAAGATATGGAGAAGGTTGTTCATGCTTTTGTGTCATCTCGTTTGGACTATTGTAATGTGTTGTATCTGGGTTTGAATCAGCTCTCTCTCTCTCGTTTGCAGCTTGTCCAGAACTCAGCTGCCAGACTTTTAACAAGTACAAAGGGGAGAGAGCATATTACTCCTGCATTAATCAAACTGCATTGGTTACCTGTACGATTCAAAGCGTTGCTGTATGTTTATAAGGCTGTGCATGGTCTATTACCTGACTTACTGATTTAATTAGTGTCTGTCAATCCAGCAGATCTCTGCGCTCAAATGATCAACTACTCCTAATGGTTCCACGAGCTCGTCTAAAATGTAGAGGGGATCGAGCTTCCTCTGTGGCAGCCCTTCCTCTGTCTATTAGAACTTCTCCAACTTTGGGTGTTTTTCAGAGTTTGCTTAAAACTCATTTGTTTTCTCTAGCTTTTGACAATGTTTTTTAGCTGTGTATGATATTTGTTGTTACTATTATTATTTATTTATATTTTATTTTTTTATTTTATTTTACTTTCTCTGTACAGCACTTTGGTTCCAGTCATGGTGTTGAAAGTGCTTTATAAATAAAGTTTGAGTTGAGTTGAGTTGTGTGTGTGTCTGTATGTGTTTGTATCTATGTGTGTGTTTGTGTGTATGTGTTTGTGGCAGATTTTGATGAAAATTAAGACTGAATGCATCATAAAATTGATTGAGAAGAAAAGATTGAATGCATGGTCCTTTAAAAAGTTCTGCTTCCTTAAAGTTATTAGTTCTGAACAGGTGTTGAATTCATTTCAAAGCATTGTTGTATGTTTATAAGGCTGTGCATGGTCTATCACCTGACTATGTTACTGATTTAATTAGTGTCTGTCAATCCAGCAGATCTCTGCGCTCAAATGATCAACTACTCCTAATGGTTCCACGAGCTCGTCTAAAATGTAGAGGGGATCGAGCTTCCTCTGTGGCAGCCCTTCCTCTGTCTATTAGAACTTCTCCAACTTTGGGTGTTTTTCAGAGTTCGCTTAAAACTCATTTGTTTTCTCTAGCTTTTGACAATGTTTTTTAGCTGTGTATGATATTTGTTGTTACTATTATTATTTATTTATCTTTTATTTTACTATTATTATTTTTCATTTGTTTTTATATTATTATTATTTTTGTCTCTTATCTTTCTTTGTACAGCACTTTGGATCCAGTCGTGGTGTTGAAAGTGCTTTATAAATAAAGTTTGAGTTGAGTTGAGTTGACTTGAGTAGACTCTAAACAAACTACTGTATACTGACTCTGACACTTTAGGTCTTTATTTAAAAAACAAAAACAAAACAATCCCTGTATTTGAGTTAGAATAGTTTCCAAAAGCACCGTTATGAACACAGTGATGCTGTAAAAGCAGATTAATGAGTGGATGAGAGCGTTTAATGTCCCTGACAACCTCTGTAGTCTCATTTAGCCACTTGTTAGCAACTGCCTTTTTCAAGACAAGTAAGAGCTATAAAAAAAAAATCACAAGTGGATTTACTGATGTGTTTTATGTTGTAGAATAAAATGTGAAAATATCCTAAGCTTGTGTTAAACACAGACCTTATTTCAGGCATTTAACCAAAAGCCCATTTAAAAGAACATTTACTAAAGTGCTAAAATGCTAGCTTGTTTCCTTGTTTTGGCCTAAAAAAAAAATATGCAAGCACTAAAACCAGAACCAAATGCGCTAACATGGTAACTTTTTGCCAGGTTTTGGTCTTCAAAAATATGGAATTGTTAAAACCAGAATTGAAAGTGCTAACATGCTAACTTGTTTCAGGGTTTTGGCCTGCAAAAATACAGAACTGCTAAAAGCAGAACCATAAGTTCTAAAATTTTAACTTTTTTTCGGGTTTTGGCCTACAAAAATATGGAAATGACTGGAACCGGAACTGCTAAAACATCAACTTGTTCCTGGGTTTTGGCCTACATAAATACGGAAGTGCTAAAACTGGAACCAGAAGTGCTAACATGCTAAAATGTTAAAGTATTTCCAGGATATATGTATATTCTGTTACACAAAAACAGTATTATTTATAAAATTATAGTGGATTTATATTGTCCGCCATGACACTCACTGTGAGAAACACTGCAAGCAGAGTGATACAAACAGTGAAACAGTTGGGAGTGCTGTTATCACTAGAATATCGCACTCCTGGAAAAGGCTCTCAGCCAATCAGATTTGAGGACCAGGAAGATAGAAGACACACAAAAAACATCTGCTTATCTGTTCTCTGTGGATTTGGGGAGGGCGGCTCTCTCTTTGATGATGAAGATAAAGTAAAAAGTCACATACGTCACAAACCACAGGAAGACAGATGTGGAAAACCACTTAAATTTTCATGTCTAGAGCGTACTTGTCTTCAGAACACTGAAAGACAGAAGATGTTCCCTTTGGTCTGTGAATACAGTGACCTTTTGACCCTCAGCGGGGTGAAGGACTTCTGCATCTCTGTTCTCATGGGAGTAAAGAGCATATGACGTGTGCAGTTACATGTTTGTGTGCTTAATTTTCACGTGCGGCACGAGCGCGGTGTGACATCGGTCACGTCTCGTGATGAACTCCATTAGTAATGGCCATAATAAATACTATATATGATTGATTCCGTCCTTTAGTGCAATAGTTCAGGATTAGCGTCACATCCAGATCCATTCTGGTGTGCAACACCCATTTTTCACCATCTAATCAATTCCCAAATGATAAAATCAATTCCTGCCATACATTTTTCTTCACTTAATGACAGAAATGCACCAATGTGCTAACAGGGAATGTTCGCAGAATGTTCTGGCAAGGTTTTCTCAAAGTTATACAGAAACGTTCGTCAAAGTTTATCAAAGTTTTGTTTTTAGTTGGACTTTTGTTAAATGATTTTTTAAATGTTACTAGTTGTTTCAGAATGTTCAGAGAACATTCAAAAGACATTCCCATGATGATACATTATAATACGTTATGAAAATGGAATGTTCCCTTAACATTCATGTAAACAAATGTTTTAAAACATTTAAAGAACTGGATATTTTGAATGTTCAGAGAATATTTCATTACACAAAGGTGTTTTTAGTTCACAGTAACCTCCTCAGGTTTATGGCTACAGTATTTGGTTTAGAAAAATGCCAGGGTCAGAGCTAATAAGATTCAGATTTATGTGTTTAATTACATTTCAAATAAAAATGCATGGCTGAAAATTACAGCAGTGCTCGTCCGTTAGGAAACAAATCCACTAATACAGCAAAAAGGTGTTTGAAATGCACAGAGCAATCCATAACAGCACTGTAATTATGCATGTGTGCTGCCTTTAAATTCACATTAGCATAACAAAACACAAGGAAGGAATAGCTAATTTCCTAATTTCTCAGTATGTCTGTGTAAATTAATTTTTCTAAAACATTCAGGATGTAAAATGTTTGAACAAAAAAATGTTTGTTTGGTTGAATAATTTCTTAGTCATTAATCTTCATAACCATAAGACATAAGAGAGAAAATGTGGCACCTGTATTACTAAGCATCTGTTTAGTAAAGAAAAGATAAAAGTCCTATTCTGAAAGCTAGAAAGCTGCCTACCTGAACAACCTCGAAAGCAAAGATTGTTCCTAGATGTAGGTATCAACGTAATGTTGTAATTTATCAAAACGTATCATTTGTAGATAAGAAGATCCCTTACAAGCTCACTCTTTAATCATATTTTAAAAACAATAGGAGTCATTATGAAAATAAGATGTATACTTTAAATTTCAGCATATTGCATTTAATATAAATTTAAAATATAGTACTAATTCCATTTAATTGAAGATAACATGAAATTAAGGGTCTGAAAATGCTACATTCATTTCACATTTATTCTTTTAAATGATATTTTCTACATAATAGAAACTCTTCCTCAAGGGATATATACTTTTATTTCATTCAATACCAAAACGTATCAATAAAATAGTTTAATTGACTTAAAAAGTGATCCGATTTGGCTGGTGTTTGAGTATGCTTTCTATGTTTTACACTTAATAATCCCATAGTTAGCCTAGCAACATGCTAACTCAAATGCTGGAATCAAATTTCTTCCTTTGCTGGATTTGCTGTCTATGTAGAACATTCCAAATCAGTCACTTATGAGGTTCCATGATGGTTATTGTTTTAGAAGGGACAGTAGCTGCCTATGTGCTGTATATAGTACACAGCAAGCTTAGAACAGAGATATTATGATTTCCTCCGTTGTGGTTTCAGTGAATAATTTAGATGCATTCATGGAAATCTTGGTTCTATTCATATCTGTCTTTACTTTTCTGTTACTTATTCAGAGGCCTCAAGGCATTCAGCCACAGGGGCCCAAGTGGATCTGGACGGCTCTACGACAGGCTTTTGGAAAACCTCTCCTCCTCAGCATCACCTACCGTTTCATGGCAGACCTGCTTGGCTTTGCTGGGCCGCTCTGCATCTCCGGCATTGTGCACCATCTCAGTAAAGAAAACCACACCATTCAGCCACCGGTAAGAACATTAATGTCTTTTGCACACATCTGAGCCACATATAAAACAACCAAGAATAAAGGCAGAATTTTGGTTGGTCCAAAAGTAAAAGACACTGAAATTCAATTCTTAAAGTATTTTTGTTGTTGTCATGAACAAGTACTTTTGTTCTCTGAGGTATTTTGAGGGTAAAATTAGAAACCGTTGCAGTGGGAGACTCACTTCTGGCCGTGGTTCTTTTCATGTAACATTCTTGTGTTACAAAGCGTTTTATCTTCATGCTGCTGTCATCAAATATTAAAAAGTTTAACAGCATACTGTCTGGCTCTCGGATGTTGGCCTGTTTGGATGTCTTTGTATGATGTAATCCACTTCACCACATGGAGTTAGTGATGGCAAGACACCGATATAAGATATATGAACAATCCACATAGAAAAAAATGTTATTAAAATGCCCAAATATTTATTTATCTTGTTACCACACTGAAAGCCATGGCCATCACGCATGTAATTGTATTTATTTATTTAGAGAGAGGCATTAGCAGTAGCGCTTGCTTTAGAGAGTAGTCGTCCTATGTTTTTTATGTCTTATAAATTCATATTTTCACGATTGATTATAAATGTGTAGTTTTTTTCTAATTATTTTTATTTATTTGTTTGTAACATTTTGGATATTTTATAATTGTTATAGATAGATTGGGTCATTGGGTGATTTCCAAACGTTTTAATAAAACTTTGAGGGGACACACGTCTGCTGAAAGTAATAACTGAGGGTCATGATTCATTTATGGTTATGGCATTTTCAAAGATGGCTTCTAATAGAGAAAACAAATAGCTGTGATGTGTTGTTCAGGGTAGCAATTCTCTAAAATCTGTATTTCACTTCAGAAATTGTATTCACTTGCCAGTGGCAAACTCTAATGAGTTTCTATAGCTTAATTTTATGCATTTGTGTAAATATGTTTTACAGAGGAAGTCATGGCTAACACTAAAGGGTTTGGTGTATTTCAGGTGAAGCATCTTGGAATCTACTTCATCTCCTCCCAGGAGTTTCTCGCTAATGCTTATGTCCTCGCTGTGCTACTGTTCTTCGCTCTGCTCCTCCAGAGGACTTTTCTCCAGGCCTCCTACTATGTTGCCATCGAGACTGGAATCAACCTGAGAGGAGCCATTCAGGTCAGCGCAGCAGAGACTCCAATGACTCCATAACCTTTGATTGACCGAGTCCCTAATAACTGTTAGGAAAAGTTACTTTTAAAGGAGTCATGAACTGCCTTTGTTTTTTTATTTTGTACTGTTCTCTGAGATCCACTTATAATGTTATCAAGAATTTTCATTAAAAAAACATAATTTAGAAGTAATAGGCTATTTTCTGTCCTGTTTTTTTAACCCCCCTCATCAGTATAAGCTCGGTTTGAATAGGTGTGGCGGACTGTAGACTCGGAAGTAAATGCCTAGGGCTGGACGATATGGCCAAAATTTATATCACGATATATTTCTTAATTTTGGACGATACGATATAATTCCGATATCGATATGAACACTATTAAAAAAAGCCTCGTAAAAACTACCAAGAACGCCCACAACAGATGCTGTCTAACAAACTTATGAAAAATGAATTTGGCAAGTCTATGACACCATATAATATTTTAGAAAAAAAAAACAGCACAAATAAATGAATGTTCACCTTTTATTTGTATCTTCATAAAAAACAAGAAATGTGAAATCACTGTCAAATAATCGTCTCAAACTCACCTAATTAATATTAATATCTTTAACTTCAAATTGTAGTTATTTTAAATATTTTTACTATTTAAAATAACTGTTTTCTATTTGAAAATATTTGAAAATGCAATTTATTCCTGTGATTTCAAAGCTATATTTTTAGCATCATTACTCCAGTGACATGATCCTTCAGAAATCATTCTAATATTCTGATTTGCTACTCAAAAATTATTTATTATTATGTTGAAAACAGCGTAGAATTTTTTCAGGTTTCTTTGATGAATAGAAAGTTCAGAAGAGCAGCATTTATCTGAAATAGAAATCGTTTTTGATCAACATCCTTGCTAAATAAAAGTATTAATTTCTATAATTTCTTTCCAACAAAAGAAAGAAAACAGAAATCATACTGACTCCAAGCTTTTAAATGGAATAGTGTATAATGTTACAAAAGATTTTTATTTCAGATAAATGCTGATCTTTGGATCTTTCTATTCATCAAAGTATCCTGAAAAAAAAAATTTACTCAACTGTCTTAAATATTGATAATCAGCAAATCGGCATATTAGAATGATTTCTGGATCATGTGACACTGAAGACTGGAGTAATGATTCAATGACAAATTCAGCTTTGATCACAGAAATAAATTATATTTTAAAATATATTCAAATAGAAAGCAGTTATTTTAAATAGTAAAAATATTTCAAAATGTTACTGTTTTTGCTGAACTTGGGATCAAATAAATGCAGGCTTGGTGAGCAGAAAATAATTCTTAAAAAAAAAAAAAACATTAAAAAGCTTACTGTTCAAAAACTTCTGACTGGTAGTGTAGGCTAATTATTCTTATTGATTGAAACAAATGTGCTTTAGCCAGTATAAAGAGTATGAAAAGTGCTCTGAGTTGCTGCAGAAAAAAAAATGAGCTACAATAAAAACATGTTGCTGGAGACGGGCTTATTATTGAAAATGCAAACTGATTGTCTGCCAGCAGGAGGCGCTTTGAGAGCGGTAGAACTAGCGGTTCTCCAGTAACGGCTGTAATCAAATCAGCTCCGCTCTTGAACGCTACTTTATCAGATAAAAATGAAAATGTCATCGAAACTTTTCTGAAGACAGTCCTTTCCCTTCAGAGATACATTCATATAAAACATCAAATGAAAACGCCATCGAAACTTTTCTGAAGACAGTCCTTTCCCTTCAGAGATACATTCATATAAAACACCCGCGACGTGCAGTCAAACGCCACAAATAAATCAATGTTTGGGAAACACCGGTAATGTATATTGAAATATCGGAAATGTGATATTACATAAAAAATCATATTACCGTTATTGAAAAAAAATTATATTGCGATATATATTGATATTGAATTATTGTCCAGCCCCATAAATGCCCACTGCTATGATTGGATAATAGTTTTTTATGTTTGACAGCGACATTCCTCATAGATGGATGCTGCTGGCTGTGATTTAGGTTAAAAACGCTTAAATAACTCAATACATATCAAAAGATCTGTAAGAAGAGGCAGTATTATGACCACGTAATGAAAACAGTTACTCAGACTTGTGTTGCGACATTACTGTCGGATCCAATTTAGCTTTTTTTTTTAGACTAAAGACAAAGATTTCAGTTCTGAAACGTACAGGATGTTTTTATAGTACAATGACCTCTTATGTGTCAAAATATCAAAGGAATTTTGGTTTCTCAGTTCATGACCCCTTTAAAGTAATGCATTACAATATTGTGTTTACTCCCTAAAAAAGTAACTAATTGCGCTACTTAGTAACTTTTTATGGAGAGTAATGCAGTATATTACTTATTTGAAAGATAATTTTGTTGTAAATTTAAAAGTAATGCGTTACTTTACTAGTTACTTGAAAAAGTAATATGATTACGTAACTTGTAATGCGTTATCCCCAGCACTGCAAATAATATGATATCCGGTTTCACTTCCAGACAAAGATCTTCAATAAAATAATGCGTCTCTGCACCTCCAACATGTCCATGGGGGGAATGACAGTGGGCCAGATCTGCAACCTTGTTGCTATAGACACCAATCAGCTGATGTGGTTCTTCTTCCTGTGTCCCAACCTGTTCGCAATGCCAGTTCAGGTAAAGCCTCACATGAGGTTCCTTTCTCTATAGAGTTCAATGCATTGGGGAATATTGGTGCGAGTTTGTGAATGGGCGTTGAGTCGAATGTTTCAGTCGCATTGCCTTATTTGCCTCAGAGAAGCAAGTTTTTAAATAGATATTCCCTCACATGGGTTTTATCTGGGATGTTATCTGTACTTGACCCACTTAAGAAGAAATACACTGGGAATCCAGTGACATCCCAACACTGTAGCACAATTGGTGAATGTATGTAATGTAGTCTAGGTTATAGACTACAGTGACATATAGACAGCCCCTTCCCACCTTTTCCTTTGTTTTGTGTTTGTTTTGGTTTGCTTTGCCATGCATTGCATTGTGTTTTTGGTTTGTTTTGTTTGCTTTGCTTTTGTTTTGTTTCATTTTTCGTTTTACTTACACTTTTTTACTTTTAGTTTTTGTCTTTTTTGCTTCACTTTGTGTTGTTTTGCTATTTGCTTTGTTTTATTTTGTTTTGCTTTGTTGTCTTTTGTTTTGTCTTTGTTTTGTTTTGGTTTTGTTGTGTTTTGCTTTTAGTTTTTAGTTTTTTGTTTTTGTATTTCTTTTTGTTTTGTTTTGTCTTGTGTTGTGTTGTCTTGTTTTGCTTTTTTGTGTTTTGATTTTAGTTTTTTGTTTGTTTTGTGTTTGTATTTGTTTTTGCTTTGTCTTTTGTTGTTTTGCTGATTTTTTATTTGCGCTGTATTGCTTTTTTCGGTTTTGTTTTTAGTTTTTTGTTTGTTTTGTTTTTGTATTTCTCTTTGTTTTGTCTTGTGTTGTTCATTTTTTTTTTTGCTTTGCGTTGTATTGTTTTTTTGTTTGTTTTGTTTTGCTACTTTATGTTTTGCTTTTAGTTCTTTGTTTGTTTTTGTATTTCTTTTTGTTTTGTCTTGTGTTGTCTTGCTTTGTGTGGTCTTGTTTTATTTGTTTGCTTTCCTTGCTTTGTGTTGTGTTTGCTTTGTTTTATTTTGTATGCTTTGCTTAATTGTTTTGCTTTTGCTTTGTTTTATAATGGTCCTGTCATTTCTACTTGTAAATTAATATTAGGGCTATCTGTCAATAAAAATCTTTTATTGTAAATAATCGTGCGATTTTTTTATTTCAAAGATTACACTTTAACACATTCAGTTTCATTGAGTTTTGAAGAAGAAAAATAGACCTTTTGTGTAATTACTGGGTTTATAAATTTGTGTTGATGACGCTCATAATGCAAAATTTATCCAAGAATTTACTAAACCCAATCTTTAACTTCATTAAAATTCACAAGGAATGCAAAACAACATGTCAATGCAAATATCAATGCTGTCAAATATCAATCAAATATGCAATAATTCAATAATTAAAGGAGAACTTCCCCTACACGTTGGATTACTGGATGTAATCTTATATGTGTAAAATAAATTACCAGTATATCAGTCAAAGTTTTAACGTAATTTCTCAACAGACTGACTCTTATCTTTGAATGGCATGACATGAGTTGGTTACAGCAGACAGTTCTTGAGCTGAACAAATGGAAATGTAAAAACGTTGCAAAGATGCTCAGTATTCCTCACACTCCTCCTGCTATTGAACATGTTTCTCCTGAGAGTAGACAGTGTGAAATATCAGATACCACTGCCAGATCTAATTTTAGCTTTGGTATAACAGTATTTTTGTCCTCAAAAGCCTCATCTTGTGTAAAATGGAGTGTTGCTTGTAGAAATCTGTTTCTTTGTCAATGGGGCTCTTGAATGATGAGGACATATACAGTAATTGTTTCATGTAAAAAAAATGCATTCATTGATGGCAGACCAATAATTAAGTCATTAAATTACTCTTGAAATAATGAGAGTCCTAGAGAACTTTTGTTGTGAAACAGATTGTATATACATGAACACATTTGAATCTCACAAACAGGAAGTCTCAAGACAGATTAGGAAGTTGAAGTCCCTATACGTTTTGTATGGCACGTACTCCGCTCTTGGGGTTACTCGTGGCTGCCTTTGTGCAAATCTTGATTAGTTCCCTAAGGCTCCTTCTTTATTTTCAGTGAACAACGTTTTTTTTTTCACTCTGCATATTTAATAATAAATCACATGCTCAGCTTCTCCATAATAATATTATTGTCTAATATTTAGATTCATATATTTTGTTAATTTTTCATGTTACTTTAAACAAATTTAACTTGCCAGTTTAACACATTTATAGATGTGTATTGTACACATTGTTATTTATATATTATTGAATATATATTGTAATATACAATTTTAATTGTATTATATATTTATATTAATATCATTATTAATAATTATTCATCACAATTATTTAAATATTTAATAATTATTCTTGAATATATTATTTATATAGTATTTATTTATAATTGAATATGTTAAACTTTATTAATTAAATGTTATCTCAAGATTTGAACACATTTACAGAATTATAATATTTCATAATATTAAAAGTTTTACCCTCTGTAAAACTGCCATGATATTTTGATCATTTGTGGGAAGGAAAATGCTATGAAAATAAAATTAAATCGATTTTTTTTTTTCATGTATTACTCTTTTAATTGGTATATATTGTGAATAAATATAATGATATGTGGGATATGGGTTATATTGTGAATAAATAAGACATAATGTCAATGTAAAATAAAGTAAATAATTTCCAGGTAGTATTTTAATAATTTGCTTTAGTGTGATGCTAATAAAAAGACAAGTAATTAATCATACAAAAAAAGAAAAATGTGTTGTCTGTGAAAATACAGCGTCTTTTATATTTTATAAAGGGGGGTCATCATACTGTGGGATCCTTGGCATCAAAAATTATGCAAACCCTGCACTAAGCTTCCCTGATCATTAAAATACCGGCCAGTTTGCCATAAACCTTATCTTTATCACTTATTGTGACAAAAGTGCTACTGAATATAAAAGGGTGACATTTTCCTCTTGGTTTCAGATCATAGTGGGAGTCATCCTCCTTTACTACCTCCTGGGAATAAGTGCCTTGATAGGGGCCACGGTCATCACCCTCCTGGCTCCGGTGCAGTACTTTGTGGCGACCAAGTTATCAGATGCACAAAAAAGCACATTGGTGAGCTCCTTTACTTTGTTTAATGTCTTAAGTAACTGTGCACATATAGATTTTGTTCAAATACAGATGACATTTGTACAGGAAAGCCAGAGCTTGTTCAAATGATAAACCTGTCAAATATTGAGCTCAAATAAGACCCAGGAGATTTTAGGAGCCTTTAGCATTGTTACTAATGTATCATTTATGTGTCGAACACTCAGGAATATTCCAGCGAGCGGCTGAAGAAGACCAATGAATTGCTGCGGGGTATCAAACTCTTGAAGCTGTACGCCTGGGAGCACATCTTCTGCTCGAGCGTGGAGGAGACCCGGGGCAAAGAGCTCACCAGCCTGCAGACCTTTGCCCTCTACACCTCCATATCCAGTAAGACTCAGCTTTCACAGTTACTTCAGATAATAATAAGACTGAGAGCAACCATGCTTGTTAGAGATGTCATGTAGGGTTATATATATATTAGGGATGCACCGATACCACTTTTTCCAGTACTCGCCCGATACCGAGTACCGATACCGATATTTTTATTGCATTTGTAAATTTTTTAAATATTGGGTACAGGAACCAAAAGGGTATGTATAATGTTAGTTGGTTAACTTCATTTATCAAAGAGATACAGTCAAGCCAAAATTTATTCTGACACCTTCAACATTTCTCACATTATCACAGTTTATTCGCTATAGTTTAGAAAGTAACTGTGCACATATAGATTTTGTTCAAATACAGATGACATTTGTACAGGAAAGCCAGAGCTTGTTCAAATGATAAACCTGTCAAATATTGAGCTCAAATAAGACCCAGGAGATTTTAGGAGCCTCTAGCATTGTTACTAATGTATAATTTATGCATTGACGCTCAGGAATATTCCAGCGAACGGCTGAAGAAGACCAATGAACTGCTGCGGGGTATCAAGCTCTTGAAGCTGTATGCCTGGGAGCACATCTTCTGCTCAAGCATGGAGGAGACCCGGCGCAAAGAGCTCACCAGCCTGCAGACCTTTGCCCTCTACACCTCCATATCCAGTAAGACTCAGCTTTCACAGTTACTTCAGATAATAATAAGACTGAGAGCAACCATGCTTGTTAGAGATGTCATGTAGGGTTATATATATATTAGGGATGCACCGATACCACTTTTTCCAGTACTCGCCCGATACCGAGTACCGATACCGATATTTTTATTGCATTTGTAAATTTTTTAAATATTGGGTACAGGAACCAAAAGGGTATGTATAATGTTAGTTGGTTATTAACTTCATTTATCAAATAGATACAGTCAAGCCAAAATTACGTATTTGTACTGATGCAGAATGAGAGGGACAAGTAGCCTACAGTACAGTCTAGCGCATTTCACACAGGCTGCTAGATTCACTTTCGCCTGAAAGTCGTGTCTGCCTAAGGTTGAAAATAAATGATGTTTATAGTGAATGCCCCTATGAATGGTTTTATTTTTACGATTTCGTTTTAATCCCGTGCTTTGTTTATCAGCTCGCGCACATCAGCTATACAGGCGTTAATACTGAATGTTTAACGTTATATTCATTGCATACATATACTTCGTAGTAGACATCCTTAACTCCTTTCTGCTGTCTGTTGTTCTGTTGTCGGTGTTTCTTTGTCTGAATATGGCGCTTATCACATGCTGTGTGGTATCGGCGTTTGTTATCGGGGCATTTTAACGAGTACGAGTACGAGTACAGGAGACCAGTATCGGGCCCGATACCGATACCAGTATCGGTATCGGTGCATCCCTAATATATATATGTATATTGTATAGGGTTCTTTGTATTAAAGCAAAAAATAACACCTATTTTTCAGTAAATATTGGTTAAAACTGTGAGCAATTGCAGCTCATACTTTCAATTTTATCAGCAGCAATTTTGGCAAGAACATAAAATGCGAATCTCCCAGCTGGCCAAATTCACACAGCATTATGAGTTATCACTGCCTACAGGCATCACTGAAAACGGTGTTGGACCCAATGTAGCAGATTTATTTTAGATAATCAAGTGTAAAATTCCAAAGTCCGAAATAATAATTAAGATTAATATTTAAAATGCAATAAATATAACATGTAAAATAATATATAAAAATAGTTCTTGATAGTTTATAATTTTATTTATTATTTAACATTTTTGTCAAATGCTATAAATGCTGTGTGTGTTTTATATACATTAATAATATATACTTTATATTATTTAAGTCATTTCTTATTTTTTGCAAAAATAAAAATATAAAAGTGTGTCTGTGCATGTATGTATATTTAACAACAAGTTAAATGCTTACATATAAATATATATTAGTGCTGTCAAAATTAGCACGTTAATGCAGGCAATTAATTTTCCCAGTTTAACGGAATTAAAAATATTTAACGCAGTTAACACAGGGGCGGAGCTAGGGTTGGCCACCGCACTCACAAACGCTGCTTCTGTCTCTTTTTTCTTGACATGAATTGCATTTATTTAGACGTAGAACGTCTTTATGACCACATCAAACAGGATACTTTTCAGACGCGCACTCCACTTCACCTCAGCGCCAGGTGCGAGTCAAACGAGCACGGAAACGATACAGGTATCGAGGAGCTTCAGTAGAACATCAGTGGACTGCGGTCAGATGAGATGTTGTCAGGCCATATGTCAGTAAAAACGAATCTTCCTGACCTGTCAGCCGTTATACTGTGTTCGTAGTGCGTGCTCTTCAATTGCACGCACAAATACGGCGGCACGCGCTGTAGCCTGTATCATTTAATATTGAAGTGTGAATGAAACTAAGAGCATGCATGTCAGATCCGCGTCACGTTCAGCAGCGGCAGCTCTTAAAGTAATAGCAGACAAATAACCTAATAACCCAGCTGCTATGATGTCTGTTAATCAAAGAACAAAAGAAAAAAAGAGGAAATCAATAACTTTTGTAGCTTTAAGGATTCATCTATATTTAATTTAGAATTTAGTGTTTGATAACTTTATTACATTTCTGTATATTTCCTACTTGCTGCAGGGCGCAAATAAATATGACATTTATTATAATGGGTTTATGTGAAGATTGTTTTAAGTTCACTTAAATTAGAAGTTTTTTTAAAGTCTAATAAATGTTAAAATTGATAGCTCTCAATTATACTGTAATGTTGAATGGCTATATAGTCAATGGTTGAATATTAGGAAAAAAATAATAATTTCTTAGATTAATTTATAAATAAATATATAAATATATCTGTACATATAAATGATAACATCAATTTTACACACACATATTGTCACAATTCGCTGGAGCACGGGAACGAGGAAACGAGGAGACGTGGAGATTTCACAAAAACGAGAGTCTTTAATAATCCAACATGGAGTCCAAGAGCACATGGAAGACGTTTACAAAAAATAGACCCGACCAAGGAAGACTGAACAAACAGGAACTTAAATACAAGGGATAATTACTTAACACAGGTGCACAGAATGAGTAATTAACTAAACGAGGACAGGAACGTGACCAAAAAAGGGAACACAGGAACAGAAACAGGGGCAAAAACATAACAAAACTGGTCCATGATGCTGACATATCGCCCCCCTCCCGGAAGGCTCGTCCTCGCATCGTAGAACAACAGAGGGGGGGCATGGGTGGGAACTTGGGAGGCGGCTCAGGAGGAGGACGGACACCCGGGAGGGGGCCAGCAGACAGAGACCAGGGAGGTGACGATGGAGGGAGGAGCCAGGGAGGAAACAGGAAGAACTTGGAGCAGGAGGAGCCAAGCAGGACCCAGGCCACAACCATGATGGCGACCCACGGTGGAGCTGACGGAGGGAGGAGCCATGGAGGAGGAATGGCCGCTGACTCCAGGGGCTGACCAACGGCGGCGCTAGTGGACTGCCGGGCCACGGCGGAGAGGAGGGAGCTAGGAGCCATGGTGGCACCAACGGGTCCACGGGCCGAGGCGGAGTCCGGGGCTTAGAGGCTGGAGGCGGAGTCAAGGGAAACTCCAGCCACAGCAAAGCTTGAGGATGGCAGTCTGCCATCCTCCAGCTTGGTGGAGATGGCAGAGATCGCACCGCATAGATGGTGGGCTGAGGACGAGCAGAGGGGCTGCCAGACGACAGCGGAGAAGGAGGCAGGAGCGGGTGGGAGGGCGATCATTTGTGAGCCTCCGGGCTTTCAGGCCAGAACTTAGGAACGGGAGCCCTCTCCTCTTTGGTGTGGCACAGTCGCCGCGCCATACACAGCTCTCCCTCAGCCACGGTGCAGGGCTGGAGCGGGTGGGAGGGCGGGCATTTGTGAGCCTCCGGGCTTTCAGGCCAAAACTTAGGAACGGGAGCCCTCTCGTCTTCGGTGTGGCACAGTCGCCGCACCATACACAGCTCACCCTCAGCCGCGGTGCAGGGGGCGGAGCTCCTCTCCGCACTCACACCGCCCGCGGCTTTCTCCCTCGTGGCGGGTGTTGTTGCCGGCTCACACACCTTGACTGACACAATATGCATAAATATTTTTTTATCGCTGGTTTCTTGCCAAAAACACTTTAACAGGGGGAAAAAAGCAAAGAAAATACATCAATATTAATGGATTGGTCTTGGAAATGCTCATGGAGATGCTTCAAGGCTGGGCGAAGCTTAACATTTTTTAATGAAAATATCCAATAATTTTTTATTAAAGAATGCTAAATATTTTAAGAAATAGAGGTAAGAAATACAACCTTGAACAAACATCCAAAGCACTGAAAACTACAATCAAGAGCTGCTGACTGCATCTGCGGAGTGTTTTTGTGTCTTTGACAGTGCTGCTCTCTGATTTAAGCCAAGGTTACAGCACAAAGTCCTCATCTCTCTCTCATCTCTTATCGCTGCGTTTTTGCGACATTAGCAATATTGGAGAAGGACTGTGTTGCTCAGCAGGAGAATATCCTGCATGTGGTGCTGCAAAGAGACTTCGGGTTCATGCATCATTCAGTCTGAATCGCTGCTTTCTTCCCTGCTGAATTTACTGCACAGGATCAATGTATTCGGATTCAAAAGATCCACAGGTTTCAATTCTTCACTACTTACTCTTTAATGAACAACAACTATAGGTAAAAGAATCGCAAATAAACTCAGGAAATATAGCAGGAGGTCAAACGAGAACATCAAAAACCTTCCAGCTTCAGCAGAAAATGGCCAAAGAACCTGTCAGACAGCAAACTCAGTTGTAAATTACAGCGATAGCAGTGACATATCTGATAGCCTGAAGTAAACACAGCAGAACTCAAAGGATATAATCACTTTGATGATACTTTTATCCCACAGACCCTGTAGGTATTAAGATCAAAAAACGTCTTGTCTCTGGACTGAACTTGTCAAGCCTTTGTCAGCTCAAATGAAACGGAGTTGTAATGTTTCTGGCTGCCATCAGTCCTTCCAGCACATAAAGCTCACAGCAGAGTAATGCTCATGTCAGCAGATACGACTGCAGGTAATTTCTTCTCTTCGTTCCGCTCAGTGTATATTGGTTTGGAGGCAATGGAGAAAACTGTACAGCAGCAATCCTGCTCCGAGGCGAGAGATGGTGATAGTAACTACAGATGGTTAAATGTCAGGGATGCTTCAGTCAATATAGAACAAAAATCCCATTCATTTTCTTCAACGAAATATTGATTTTTAACAATTCCTTTAAAACCTTTTAAGACAGAAACACCATGAGCTCCAAGGTTATTAATAGCCGGCAGTGACCACCTACTCCCATGAAGCTTTGTGAATTGATTGATTGAATCAAGACGCTCTTCCTAGACTCTAAGCTTTTTGTATGTTCTATATACTTATATATCATTAGTTTGAAGTAAATTTAAAATATATTTATATATATATATATATA